GTTGATGGATGTTTTGTGAGAAAATCACACAGACCATGGAAAGATGCGACAGAGGTCATGGCTGCTTTGCCTCAGTAGCAAATGGCAGCAGCCCGGCTCTGCTCCGCTTGAAGGAAATCCGTTTGAAAGGTCTGCACACACCTCACAGATGGCAAGAGCTGCAACCCTGAACTTCAGAAAGGATGGGGCCCACCAGCCAGGGGTGGGGCTTGGAGGGTTCCCTCAATTTTGATCTCTGTCCGTCTGCCTGGAACCCTTTTTTTCTACTAAAATTGTATTGATTTGCCATTCCTTCACAAAGTAATCATCTTGTGAGTAGGACGCCTCCCCTCTGCAGGCGCACGTGCGTCACTCGCGAGCCAGGGCCTGTCACCTCCCTGCTCGGCCCTCACCTCCCCCGCATGCCTGCTGGTGACCACCGTGCTTTCCAGCCCAGGAGTTATTTATTTATTTTTTTAAAAGATTTATTTATTTATTTATACAAGCACTGGGTACAGTCAGAAGTCAGGAGGGTGAGAATTCACCAGAGCCAGAGCAGGGAGCAGGACAGGCAGACTGACAAAATACACTGCTGAGGGGAGCAGCGGGCGGCAGGAGAGGTCTGCGTGCCATGTGGGACCCTCACCCAGTGACCCGGGATTGAACTGGCGCTGCAGAGGCTGCGGGCAGCTTCGCAACCCAGCGCTCAACCGCTGCGCCACCGGGGAGGCCCCCAGGAGTTGTTCTTGTTAAGTTTCACCAGCTATTTATATTCCGTCGATGAGAGAAACCGTCCAGTCCCTGCCCTTCTATTTCTGACCAATTCCACCGAGTGTCAGCACCCCAAGGTCTGTCCAAAATGACCCAACGGGGAGTTGTTTGGAATCTTTTCTCTCACAGACCAGCTTTCTCTCAAGCGGTGAGTGGCTGCCCGGGGTGGAGTCACCTCCCCAGAGTCCAAAGCAGAGAACATGAGCGGGGACAGGCCTGTCCCCTCCCCTGGGAGGGGTCACTCGTGAGGAGGACGTCATGGGACAAGATGGCAGCTCCCCTAGGACCACATGGCTTAAATGGGAGCGCGACAGTGACACTGGCCTAGAGAAAGGAGCCTCAGGGACGTGGCCTCCACTGCCCATGTCCCCAGGGCTCTGCCCACCTGGCTAGATAATCCCCAGGGGAGGAGAAAGTGGCCATATTTTCTCCCACTTGCAAGAGCTGATTATAATTCATTTATCTTCGTGTTTTCTCAGGGATGCATATAGGGAGTGTATGTCAGGGGCTGTACCCCTTGTTTTAATGAGGGTGTTAGAACAGTTCTGGAGAGTGTACACGTCTCCCTTGGCAAATCCACACAGTGGGAGCATTTGGTTACCGTGACCCCCCCATACCTCCTCTGACCGAGTGCATTTCATGTAATGTGAATGGAGGGAGTCCCTGCCCTGAGAGACAGACGCCCCTGGGGGACACAGGGGCACAGCTTGATGTGCCCGGGGGCAGAGGTCTCCCGAGCTAGGGTCGCCTAGGTGGGGGGGGGCTCATCTCCCACCTGCCACTACCCTTCGCTGACACCCTGCAGCCCCAGGTCCCACCCCTCTCAGCTTTGGGGTTATTATTTCAGGCCTTTGTAGAAGGAGGACGCTGGAGTCGGCTTTGGGGATGGTCACGGGGTTGGCTGCTGTGGGGATGGTGGTTTCCGGAATCCATTTTCTTTGGACTTATCTCTTGGTCTCAAGGATTTGGCCCTTTTAATCTTTTGAAGATGAAAGTCCTTTGTTAATGCCTGTGAGCTCTCTCAGCTGGTGGGGTGCTGGAATGTAAAGGGGGGGCTGGATTCCTAGGCCCTGGGCTTCCTTGGGAAGCTTTTCTCTAAGGGCTCAGGGAGATATCAACGTTGGACATTTATTTTCAACCCCAGGTCTTGAGTAATCAACTCTGGTAACATAAGAAGGAAGAATCAAGACCTGCTGTCTCCCTGAACGTCCAGATGTGCTTCTGTCTACGGTGGTAGGGACAGTTAAACCACCTTGAACCCTGGGATAGAAATGGGGTCGATTGCACGCTGTGGCGTGGCTTCCGTGTGAAATGGAGACTTTGGGAAGGCAGGGTTTGGAATTTGGTTGGAATTCTTCACTGCCCTTTAAAAAAAGAAAACGGTTCTTTGATAAATCACAGAAGTATTTTCAGAACACACAGTGATGTGGGTTTTGGAAGAACAGGATGGCGGCTGGTTTATCCCTCTCATTCTCTTCAAATAATCAATGAAGGAAATTCCCTCAGAAAGCCTGCAGATGTTTGCAAGAAATTTATTTGGACACTCTACCCATGCGGCTCTGAAAAAAGAGAAACATTTGAACGCTGCTATCCTAACCCTCTTAAAAGTTAAAATACAATTTATCTCCTCCGGACCTGCTGCAGCAAACTTTGTATTTATGGTTCTGTCTCCACTTTCTCTCTTCATGCCTGTCATGCTTAGTACTCAGATGTGCCTTTATTGTTTGATCGGCTGCCGTGGCTCCGAGCACAGTCATCACGGTGGAGCTGCGCCAACATCCGTGCCACCTACTGTGCTTTCTGTGCTGGTTGCAAAGGCAGGCACAGCGAGCGAGGGTGTTTTTCCATTTGCCAGGCGGTGCTGCAAGTGCTGCCTCCTGTGAGCTTCCCAGCAAACTTATGGGAAGGGGCGCAGCCTGGTTTGGGAGGGGGACACAGAAGGGTGTGCTACTTGGGCGAGACCACCCAGCTGGTGAGTGCGCAGCTGAAATTCGAGCTCAGGACACTTGGCTCCTGAGAGCATGAGGGGAAGAGTGTGGGTGCAGAGCTCAGCCGCTCCCATAACTCCCCAACTTGGGCAAGAGTTGTGACCCCTCTGACCCCCCATTCCTCCCCGTGCAGAGTGGGGTGGGGAAGGCACCTGCTCCCTGCACTGGGCTCCAGCAGGGGGAATCGGGTGTGCTCAGGGGGGACCCACTGCAGTGCAAGAGCTTTTTTTGCACCTCTGAGTTTTGGGACCATCTTCATTTGTAAATTGGGGGTTCCGAGCCCCCTTTTCTGCTCAGGTTGATGGCTGTGTCTGCCAGCAGGAGCCATTGCCCCCGCGCACTTGGATGCTGAGAGCAGCGCTCCTTCAAGGGACCCACAGTAGAAATTACCAGAGGGGCCGGGACCCCTAGCATGGGCTTGTGACGTGTGGTTTCACCCAACTCTGGCATGTCGTGCGGTGGAGAGGGGAGGGCGTGCCCCGCGAATTGGGTGAACCGCACAGATGGGACAGGGGTGTACACCTAAGGCACAAGTGCCAGCCACACTCACCCTGGGTTTGAGAAGCCGGAGGAGCGAGAGGAAGTTGAGAGAAGGGCCCTTGATGCGTGCTTTGATCTGGGAGGAGGCTCCGGGGCTGGTGGCTGCTGAGCGGCAGGCATGCCCGCACCAATGAAAGTGTCACAGGGAGCCGGGCCGATGCCCGGCTGTGGGCATGGCCATCCAGGGTGGGGTGGGGGGGAGGGGGAGTGGATCCCTCCTTGACATCTGTGTTGTGCTGCAGCCCTAGCCCAGCCTGGAGTCCCAGGTCCCCAGCTTCTGTCTTCTGGCCAAACCGGTTCCACTTTCTCGCAGTCTCTCAGGCCCCTGCCCCCAAGGTGGGAAGCGGAGAAGGCGCTGTGGCTCCCGGACAGGAGCAGTGTCTGCAGATGCTGCAGACCTGGACGCGGCCCTCCTGCATCTTCCTCCCAGCCTCCCAGCTTCGCCCGGCGCCATTTTGGCCCAGGGGAGACGTACCTGGGCTTCACTCCCTCCCGGCGCTGCTCATCTATGAAATGGGCAAACAAGTTCATTCAAGTTGCACTGACCGTGTAACGGAGAAGGGGCCTTGGCCTGAGTCGCCTCCTGACTCTGCCATGCACCTCTTTTTATTCTAAGACTGTGGCTGTAAACCCCGGCAGCTCATTGGAAACATCTGGTTGCTTTAGCAAGTGCAGGTTCTGGGCTCCTCCCTGAAGGAGCTGAAGCCGTCGGTTCAGGGTGGGGTGAGAGCAGCGCCGTGCTGGGGCCGCCGAGCTGGCCCCCACCTCTGTCTCACTGACCTCACTTTGGAAACTTGGAATCTGCCAAGATGGAAATTGGCAAACGCAGTGGACGGGGTCCCAGAGACCCAGTTATCAAGCACTTACCAGTCCGCCGCATGGAGAGCTTTTCAAAGCTCCCGGATGATTGTCAGGTGCAGCCCGGGCTGTGCCCTGCTGGCCTGGGGTCCCCATGGCGCGGGGTCATCTTTGCCAGTCTAGCTCTCCGTGGTCTAGCCGTACCAGACGCGAGAGTGCATACGATTTTGATCACGTGACTCTTACAGCTGCCCACAAAGTGTGCTTCTCATCCCCAGTGCTGTTTTTTTTTTTTTAAGATTTATTCATTTATTTATGCAAGAACCGGGGTACAGGCCAGATGCGCAGGAGGGTGAGAGGATTCACCCGAGACAGAGTGGGGAACAGAACAGGCAGACTGACGACATACACTGCTGAGGGGAGCAGCGGGGGAGACAGGAGAGGTCTGCGCGCCATGTGGGATTCTCTCGCCGGCTGGCTGGGAATCGAACCTGCGCTGCAGAGGCTGCGGACAGCTTCACAGCGCGGCGCTCAACTGCCAGCGCCACCTGGGAGGCCCTCATCCCCAGTGTTTGCGTGGGGAAACTGAGGTCCAGGGAAGTTACCTGGCCCCTTGTCTGGGCTCTCCAGCTAGTTAGTGCTGATACAAACCCAGGCCCCTGCGATGTCCAGGGCTCCTGCGATGGCCATGGTCAGCGCCCACTCTTCCCGCTGGCTGGGTGCCGTCATGGCTCAAGGTGACCCTGGGGTCCGTGCCTGTGACCGTCCAGTCTGCAGCAGTCAGCGTGGAACGGGAAGCTTCAGCCGGGGTCGCGGGCAGCAGGCAGGTCTCCGTGGCGTGGGCCGGCGGCATGGACTCAGCGGGAGAGCAGAGCCCGGTCCCTGACGGGCTCTCGGGGCCCCGTGTGCTTTCTTCCTTTCCAGTGGAGCACGACAAAGAGTTCTTCCACCCGCGCTACCACCACCGGGAGTTCCGGTTTGATCTTTCCAAGATCCCCGAGGGAGAGGCTGTGACGGCCGCTGAATTCCGGATCTACAAGGACTATATAAGGGAACGCTTTGACAATGAGACGTTCCGGATCAGCGTGTACCAGGTGCTGCAGGAGCACTTGGGCAGGTGGGTGCTGGGCTGCGACCTGGGGGTGGGGGGGGTGAGCTGCCCCCAGTTATGGGGAAGAGGGTGGCGGCCGGCGGGTGGGGGGGCAGATGGAGGCAGGACCCGTGATGGCTGCTTCCTCCTCCGCACACCAGCCACGCAGGCCTGTGCCAGAGTCTTCTTTAAAGGAGGTGTGTGGTGTGGTCTTAAAACTGACTGTCAACAAAACCCCGCGAGGAAAGCGGGGTGGCCAGGCAGCCTGAGGCGTGGGCATGTGTGCGTGGCATGTGTGCTGCACACATATGGACACGTGGAGGGGGCTGGGGACGAGTTGGAGGTTTCCCTCTTCCGTTCATACTCTGCAACCCAGCACCTGGCAGCAGGCGGCCCACGACAGCGCTCATGCGTCATACACGTTAGCATAGACATTCCCATCCCCCCAAAAGAAACAGGCAGAAAATCCCCAGCCTCCCAGAATTGTGAAGTCAGGAACCAAAGGCTTGTGTTTGAGCATCCAGGTCCTCTGAAAGTCAGGGAGGCTCAGAGCACAAGATGCTTACTCGGGCGTGCTGCTCGGCGGCTGGGTCGGGACATCCCGGGCGTTCTGTGCCCCCAGGTGCCATTCCTCACTAATTAGCGGGACAAAGTGGTGCGGGCACCTCCTTCTGATGGGCTGTCCGAGCGTTTTCAGTTGGATGGGGACTGTCACCCCATTCGGGGACGTGGGAGCTCCCCACCTTGTCGGCTGGGCACTGCCATTTTGGGGTCATTTGTCAACGCATTGCATATTTGCAGCAGCCACCAAGAGGGTGACATCTGTGAAAGAGGGTGAATTAAGGTCAAAGCCAAGGGCAAGTCCCTTGTGGGAGGCCGCCCACCCAGAGACAAGATGGCCGAATTAGGACTGGGTTGTGCTACCGGCCACCCTCCATCACGAGGCATCCTGAGTCAGCATCTGCCAAGTGCTGAGGGGCATTTGGAGGGGGTGGGGGGGCTTGGCCATTTCTCCAAGTTGCGACTGCTCCGGGCGGGGGCGGGGGATGTCCTTGTAGACGCATTATTCCCCCTTGTGCTGTATTGTCAGCTGGGTGCCTTCTGGAGCAGAATGGCGGGGCCCCAGAGCTCCCTGCTGGGTGAGTGGGTAGGTTTTGCTGAGATGCTCTCCTTAGAGGTGTTGCAGCGTATCCTGCGCTCCCACCAGCACCCCAGAAGAAGGCTCTGCCCCTGTGCCCACCAACACCACCTCCTACCAGACGTTTTTGATCTTTGTCGTCTGGTGGGTGACCCGTGAATCTCAGTGTGTAGAGATGCTAGAGGGGGGATGGCGATGGTCCAGAAAGGGGCATGGGTGCCAGTGCCGGGCCGTGGTAGACCACTTGGCCCGCCCTTCACCTCTGTGTCTTCCTAAAAGTGCTCAGAGTGCCCCTTAGGCTGTGCCCTGGCCCCTCAGCCCTGTTCCAAGAAGCAGTGTGGAGCTCATTCTCGGGGTGTGGCCTGTGCTTGCGCTGCACTCTGGCGAGTGTCCCGGGCTTCTTGAACAAGACCTTTATCATCCAGGCTGATTCGGGGGGCATGAGGCAGGTACCCAGAGGTCATTTGTCCACTTGATCGATTCGCTTGTGCAAACCCCAGCTCTGCTCCCTGCTGCCCTGGCCTCATGGCAGGCTCCCCCCACCTGCCTCAGAGATGGCCAGCCAGAGGTCAAAGCTCAGGAAGGCTGCTGCCCCCAGTGGGTTTGGCTGAACAGAACTGGCAGGGTGGCCTGGGCCCCGATGTGGCTCTCCCTGCACGTTCTCCCAGCAGGAGCTCTTGCCCTGGCTGGCCGGCGCAGGGCCTCCTGTGCATGCAGGCTCGCTGCGGCACCGCCGGCATCCTCGGCACAGCACCACCATCACCTCCACCACCATCACCTCCACCACCTCTGTCTCTACCACCGCCACCACCGTCACCACCAGGAATGGAGAGAAACCTCTCTGGACAATCCCTCTGTGCTAAACTCCCTAATTTACTGGCCTCCCTGTGGGATGGAGGCCTGAGCTTGTGTGGAGGCGGAGCCCTTGTTTGCATTCTCAGCCCAACATGGCCATGCCATCCACTGTGCCTGCCCAGGAGAAGGCCAGCTCGTTCGTCCTCATGTGTGCGCTTGTGCGCTGAGTGCCCGGCGGCGGCTCCAGGCCCGGAGAGGAGCCCAGATCCGGGCCCCACGCTGTGCTGTGTGCCCGGCTTGCTCCCTCTGCTCAGAGAGCCATGGCTTCGCTGCCTCTGGCCGCCCAGCTGTGCAAAGCTGGGACATCTGGCTCTCTGGTGAGCCTCTGCCTGAGCTCCAGGAAAGCCCGGGGGGTGTCGGGGATTAGCCGGCTTTGGGTTGGCCTCAGCCTCTCGCCCCTTGTGGCAGCCACTTTCCATCGAGTCCTCTTGATCTTTCGGAATCCAGATTAAATTCCGATAATGAGCTGAGCTGGAGTCCGTCCACGGCCCTGGGCCCTGCTTGCAGCTTGGCCCCAGACAGCTGGAGCGGCTTGCTGGAGCCGCCCTTGGCAGGCCGCGGGGCGCGCGGGGGCTGAGAGGCATGTCTGGGGACAGTGGCCTGGGCTCCTTGTGATGGGGACAGAGTGATTGGGGTCTAGTACCCTTTACTGCACCCCAAATCTGGGGACTGACCAGGTGGGGCCTGGCTCCAGCAGCTGGACTAATTCTGTCCCCATGGGCTCAAACTCTAGGTGAGGGTGTCTGGGATGGGGGCTGTGCTCCTGAGCCAGTGTCACTTATTAAACCTGGGCTGGGCGTTTTCCACCCTTGCTCTTCCCTCCCTTCTCCCTTGGGCCGCACGCTTGCTCATCCCACTGTCCTCTCTGTAGGAGACACCCCTCGTGGGGGGCAGAGGCCCTCCAGAGCCGTGGAATTCACTCAAAGGGAGTCAGTCACTGCCAAGGTCCAGGTGCTGTGGGCAGCTGGGTGGAAAGTATCTCTTGGCCTGTCTCCAGGACTCGGGCTGCTGGGAGCGTGACCTCAGGGCCAAGCCTGGATCAGCTGCGGCCCCGGTCACTGGGGAAGAGGGCGCTGTCCCCAGGATGCGTGGAAGGGGAGGCCCAGGGGCCGTGGCTCGCCCGCCCCCTCCCGCCCAAGGCAGCCCACAGAACAACAAGGAGGGGGGAGGCAAGCCCCCGTGCCCCCCAGCCCGTGCCGCCCAGATGGCTCCTGTTTCCTCAGCAGGGCCCCCAACCCTCTGGAGCACACACACCTGTCTCGGCTCTTACCTTCTCTTTCGAGAAGGTGGTTTCATCCAGTGCTGCCCTCACCCTCGCCCTGCCACGGCCTGGCTTAGCGCGGGGCCCCGGCCGGCCACCGGGGTGGGCCTGAGCTCTGCGTTTCCGACGTGCCCCCCGGGGACGCCCAGGGTCTCCACCTTGGACTCAGCTGGGAAGGTGTGTTGCTCCCCTGCGGGCCTCTCACGGCCCTGAGTCTTCTGAGGCTGGCTTGGGCTTTGGCCTTGGCACTGGCAGTTTTTAAAGCTCTCAGGTGTGCCCCTGAGGCAGGGCCCTGAGATCACAAAGGGGAATCCCCCAACTGTGTGGGCCCTGCGAAGGGGGGGGATCCCCCGCACTACAAGAGCCTCTTAGATGCCCTGCGAGGGAAGGGGCAACCCCCAGTTCACTTCTTCTCGTTTGATTTGGTTAATCCAAGACGGTTTTTCTCCTACGGGCTGAGCCCAAGGTGGGGTCCAGACCTTGCGTGATGGTCTCAGCGACACAGAGGAGGGGCTGGTTAAGGGTGGAGAGCCCTTCTTGGCTCTGGCTCTGGAGGCTTCTGGAAGCTTTTGGAACCTTCCCGCGGCTCCTGAAGGCCTACGTGCCCGGTTCCTCGTTTCCTGGCTTCCACCTCTTGCCACTACACCTCAGCCCCAGGGCGTGAGCTCTGGTTTTGGGCTGCTTTCTCAGGAGTTGCTGCTTCAGCTCCCAGGAGCCTTGACAGAGGGCACAGGGCGGGCAGCTGGCTGCCAGGGCTCTGCCGGGACGTCCCGGAGGTCGGGGAGAGCTCGCCAGGGCGCAGCCTGGTCAGGCGGCCTTGGCACTTGCCTTGCTGCCTTCCTCTGGGCCGCACTCCAAATCCCAGTTCAGAGCTGCTGGTGCAAAAGGAAGGGCCACTAACACCTCTCGGCGCCCCTGGGATCCTCTCCCAAGGCTCTCTGAGGAAGCCGTGCTCAGAGACACCCCTCTGGGCAGAGGTGGCAAGCAGCGTGTCCGGGCCAGTTAGTGCCAGTCGGAGCCCAGACGTCCCGCCCCGCTCGGCGTCCTGGGACCAAGTGACCCACTGGCTTCCTGTCCTTCGGGCTGAGGTCATCGGGTGGACTTTGTGGTTTTTAATCTTCATGCTTTTTATTTCCTTCCATAATTCATCCCAAGCCTGGTTTCCCCGGGAGACAGGGACGGTGGTCGGGGATGCCTTGGTGACAGGTTCTGCTGGGTGCATGCTGGCGACGCCAGGCCGAGCTCAGCGAGCCCACGCAGCTCTCACTCCTTACTGCACCCTCAAGAAGTCCCAGTTCTTCCCAGGAGGAGGCCCCTGGGGCACAGGGTGTCAAATGCCCCCCACCCCATCACAATCCAGAGGTGGAATTCAAAGCCAGGGAATAATCTGATGTAACCGGTGCCACTATCCCCTTGGCACTGAGTTTTGAAAGCTCCCCGGAGTGGACTGTCCCGGCTCTGTCCTCAGGTGAGTCACTTCATCAGTTCAGTGGGGTGGACACTGGTGAGGGGAGTAGGATCCCCACGGTGAGTGGTGATGACCTCGCTGCCTTGGGGGAGATGAGACGAGTGGCTACAACAGGAGCATGTGCAAGATGCATCCTCTGCTCCGCCCTGATCCTGTCGCTCCACGTGGACTTAAGGCTGGATGGTGAGGTCAGGTGGACCAGATGTCCCTGTGAAGTGGCCCCCCCCCTCAGTGGGGGAGGGCTGCCTCCTTCGCATCCCTGTCCATTTGGCGGGTGCCTTCCAGGTCACGATGTGCTCCCAGCT